ACACTTATGACCGCTGCAGCATCCCCAGGATCACGGCCTCAAAATTAAAAGATGCTCGGCAACTGACTCGTATTTATGACGGTTTGCAGAGTCCTGGGTGTGTGTGTGTGTGTGTGTCACACGAACCCCTTTTGTGACTGCCTGACCAGCAAAGCCAGATTCACTTAACAACCGTGACATGCAAGGTCGCAAAATGGGGCAAAATTCTCTTTTAACGAGGGTCTCGCTTAGCACCATAAATTTGGGGCTCCGTTGCGGTCGTAAGTCAAGGACCGCGTGTAGTGTGAATCCCTTTTTTCTTGAGATTTTGAATGGGGTTTTTTGGGGGGTTTTTTGCCTTCCACCTGGGGTCTCCCTGGAAGCACAACCTGTTTTTTTGGGGGGGGGAACCCCTCACCCTTTTGCCAAATAACCCAAACATTTTTAAAAAGCTGACTTATTAACAAATGTCTCACTTAGCAACAGAAATCCGGGGCGCTATTTTGGCTGCTAAGTCGAGGACTCCCTGTATTACGTCGACCAAAGCAATCCGGAGAAGGCCTAATTTTTCTCATATATTTCTTTTTTTTCCCTATTTTAGTTGGACCCCCAGACGGTGCAGACGAAAAACTGGCAGGTGGACGTGATCGAGATGAACGGGGTAAGACGGGGTGCCGGTCACCCCATTTCGGTCTTCCCCTCCATCCCTCAGGGTACCGGCGATCCTCGACTTACGACAGCCCATTTAGCGACCGTTCAAAGTTTCAATGGCACTGAAACTAAGGGACTTACGATCAGTCCTCGCGCTTATGTCTGTCGCAGGAGGCCCATAATCATGTAGTCCTCAACTTACTACCTACAGGTAGTCCTCAACTTACGACACTTCATTTAGTGACCGTTCAAAGTTACAACAACACTGAAAACAGTAGCTTAGGACTAGTCCTCGCATTTATGTCCGTCACAGGAGGCCCATAATCATGTACAGGTAGTCCTCGACTTACGATGTTTCATTTAGTGACCGTTCAAAGTTTCAACAGCACTGGAAAAAAGGGACATGATCAGTCCTCGGGCTTATGTCCATCACAGGAGGCCCATAATCATGTACAAATAGTCCTCAACTTACGATGTTTCATTTAGTGACCGTTCAAAGTTACGACAACACTGAAAACAGTGACTTATGACTAGTCCTCCTGTTTATATCCGTCACAGGAGGCCCATAATCCTCAACTTTCAATACTTCATTTAGTGACCATTTGAAGTTACAATGCTGCTGAAAACAGTGGCTTATGGCTAGTCCTCACGCTTATGTCCGTCGCAGGAGGCCCATAATCACAGTACAGGTAGTCCTCGACTTCCGCTGCTTCATTTAGTGACCATTCAAGGTTACAACGGCACTGGAAAAAAAGGGACTTATCACCATGTTTCACACTTACGACTGTTGCAGCTTCCCCATGGTCAGGTGATCAAATTTCAGATACTTGGCAACTGGTTCATATTTATGACGGTCCGAAAGTCCCAGGGTCACGTGATCTGTTTTGCGACCTCCTGACAAGCAAAGTCCATGGGGAAGCGTGATCCACTTAACAACCGTTGTTACCGACTTAACAATCACAGTGATTCACTTAAGAACAGTCATAAAATGGTACAAAACTCACTTAACAAATGTTTCACTTAGCAACAGAAATGTTGGGCTCAGTTGTGGTCGTAAGTTGAGGACTATCTGTAATCAGAATTTGGGCGTTTGACAACTGACTCATACTTATGATGGCTCCTGGGGTCAGGTGATCAACATTCGCCCCCTTCCTGCTGGCAAAGTCAGTGGGGGACAACTGGATTCGCTTAACAACCACGCGATTCGCTTAACATCTGCAAAGATTCGCTTAACAATCGTGGCAAAAAAAGGTTGGAAATGCAGAACGCGATTCAAATAGCGACCGCCGTTCTGAGCAATGGGAATTCCAGTTCCAATTACAGTCGTAAGGCGAGGACTAGCTACGGTCGGGAACGCTTTTGAGATTTCTTTGCCTATTTTTTTTCCAGTTTGTGATTTCCTGATTGGTCTTGTTTTTTCTTTCAGGTGAAAGTCGAATTTTCGATGAAATTCACCAGCCGGGATATGAGCCTCAAGAGGACCCCCTCGAAAAAGCAGACAGGGGTCTTCGGAGTCAAAATCAGCGTGGTCACTAAGTAAGATGGGCCGGAAAAAAAGGCTGAGCAAGACAAATGTGTGGGTGGGAACAACAATGTATTTGGAGAAGATATATGCAGAGTCAGTTTGATCTAGTGGTTAAGCCACCAGGCTACAAACTGGGAGACGGTGAATTCTAGTCCTGCCTTAGGCATGAAAGCCGGCTGGGTGACTTTGGGCCAATCACCAGGAGACTTGTGAGTTCTAGTCCCGCCTTTAGGCATGAAAGCCAGCTGGGTGACTTTGCGCCAATCACCAGGAGACTGTGAATTCTAGTCCCGCCTTAGCTGTGAAAGACAGCTGGGTGACTCTGGGCCAATCACCAGGAGACGG